ATTTCACTTCTGTCCTCCCATACCCATCTTTCCTAATCTAGGTGCCAGTTATCCATGTCAAGTCGTCCAGGAATTCTAGCAGGCCATTCTCTCCTTCACTTCCCACATCCTTTGATCTTGTTTTCGCCTCTCTAAATTAGTCTCTTGAATCCATTTCCCATTTCCCCTTTCAATGTTGCTGCCTGGGATCCACTCTTCTGCCTCTCCTGTTTAAGCTATTGAAATGTCCTCCTCTTTGGTTTCCTAGTGTCAGTCTTGCCACGCTCCAAAACTCTTCTGTAACAAAAACAAAGACATGTATTTTATGTGTGTGTATGAGTGATTACAGATATGTGTGTGCAGCACATATGTGCCTGGTACCTACAAAAGCCAGAAGAGTCACCAGATCCCCCATGGCTATATTACAAGTGGTTGTGAGCTGCTTGATGTGGATGCTGGGAATTGAACCCAGGTCCTCTGCAAGATTAGCAAGTGCTCTTACCTCTGAGTCACCTCCCCAGCCCTGTTCCAACAGACCTGTCTATGTGGGGAGCACTGGCTATCCAAGAATCAATTGTAGTGTGGCCTCTCCCAATTCTTCAGCAGCTCTCTGCAGAGCTGACCTAATGAAGCCTTGCCATGCCCCACTGACTCTGTGGCCTGCACCATGTGTTCACAGACCATTGTCTTTCTTTCATGCTTGTCTGTATAAGATGACAAGTTTCATGAGAGCAAGGAATCAAGACTTTAGCCATGTATACTGAAAAGTTTCTACACCTGAATAAGCCTTTCCACCGATACAACAATCCACATCAGACCAAATCAAACTGAATTAGAAAAAGTCCATGTTTAATGGATACAGCGCTCCTGGGTGGCCTTACTCCCTCCCCCCAAGAGAGGAGATGGGAAAGGGAGACAGAAAAACCACAAATCTGTTTTGGGGGGGGCAGTTTAAATACCCTGTGGGAGTTGTCTTGAGTATCTCTGGGGGAGGGGCCATCATTTGTCAGGCTTTCTGAGATACAGCAGGGTTTGGCCAGAGGTGGGGGAGGGGCCTTGGGTGGAGCTTGCACCATACATCCCAGACTCTTTGGGTATGTGGATGCCAGCGACTTGGGTGAAACTTCTACCTTAACATATATGTGTTGTGTCTGGTGTGCCATAGGTGCTCTATAAGTGCTCACAAAGTTCATCCAGGTAAACTGAGGTGAGTCCTCTCAATGGTGTCTAGATGAATTGTGACCAAGCTGGAAGCTGTCACACTGGGTGACTTAGTCACTAGAGCACAGGAAGAATGGTTTTTTCCTTAGGAAAGTGACTTCAAGGTGCTCTGAGGGATTGGATATCAAAGGGACACAGTAGTGGGGGCAAGAATTTCCCTGACTACGGAGAGGTCTAGCCTGGAGTTTAAGGAACTTCAGTTCGGTGTGGCTACAGGGGCTGTGGAGAGTAGGAGGGAGGATGAGACGGGGAAACGTCAATAAATAGCACTAAGTGACAGTTAGATAAGAGAAGTTTCAGTGTGCCGTTGCACAAGAAAGTGACTATAGATAATGAGAATTTCCATATTTCAAAATAGTCAGGGAAAAAGCGTTTGAAGGCTTCTACTGTAAATATGGTACATGTCTGAGAAGGCATGTTTACATACATAGTATATGCTTGTACAGAAATGTCATGATACCAAGCACTTTTTATAAACCACAAGGAAGCAAGGATACCTCTCTGAGTCTTTAGGCATGGTCAGGAGCACTAGAAGGAGGCATCCGTGGGCCCAGCCACAGGAAGAAGCAAGGGATCATGGGTGTGAGCTGGACATTTTGTCACCCTGAAGCCCAGGGCCTTAGAGGGAAGATAGATGTGTCACCTAGGAAAGCTGACTGGGCAAGACATCCCACACCTCACAAAAGGCTGTGAGAAATAGAATTATCCCTTCTCCCCACTCCAGCAAATCTCTCTCTCTCTCTCTTTTTTTTTAATCTTCAGCTTGGTTCTGAAGGTTAATCCTTGGAAAAGCATACGATGTTGAGGTTTTGAACAAAGTGCAAGAGCAGTGGGCGGTGGCATTAACAGCTAATTATGTGCAAGCTCAGGCATGTTGCACCTTCTATGAAGGCTCAGTAGCCTCACCTGCAAATGGGGCACAATCGGGAGCCTCAGCTACTCCTCAGGATGGTAGCAAAGGGTATGTTAATATCAGCCACTCCTCTTACATTGTTTCCTGTGTCAAAGTCAATGTTAAGTGCTTTACATACAATACCCTAACCCATTCTCACAACATCCCTACAAGATATTGTATAGATGAGTGAACTGAGTTTAGCGAGGTAAAACCTCCTGGCCAAAGTCAAATGTTATCAAAGAAGCAAATGATGCATGTGCTGCTCTGGGGACCTAGGCTTTAGATCATTGTTCTGTATGTTTAGGCTGACCCTACCACCTAGAAGTGAAGCAACTATGGGGTCCCTCTGTGACCACTGGTCTTGAGGTCACAGTGGTGGCAAGGCATAAGGAAGGATGATCTCAGAGTGGTGTTCCTGGGGATTCAGTGTCCTTTTCCCAATTGCAGAAGTACTGATTGCACAGGATTAACTACTATGATACCCCCAACCTGTGATTGTAATCTTACTAGAAAGTCAGAGCAAATGCAATCAAGTTATAATTACCTGAGCTGCAAGCATGGCAAGGGACACCTGTCATCTCCACACACCTAGGCAGAGGCAGGGGGATCAGGAGTTCAAGGCCATCTTCCTGTATACAGTGATCTCACAGGCAGCCTGGGCAAACAGGAGACCCTGTTTCAAAAACAGATAAAAGGGCAGGAAGGAAGGGAGGAAGGAAGGAAGAAAGGAAAAAAGGCAAGACGTTAGGACTTAAAATCATGCTGGATCAGGGAGGGCCCTAAGTTGATGATTGCTATTCTGATGAGAGGTTTTTTTTTTTTTTTTTTTTTTTTTTTTTCTTTAACTCATGTGTGCTGTATGCACATGTGTGAAGGCATGAATAAAGGTATCTTCCTTTATTGATCTCCACCATATTTATTTATTTGGGGGTAAAGGTGTTGCATGTCCTGGTGCATGTTATAGAGGTCAGAAAACAACCTGTGCAAGTCTGTTCTTTTCTTCAACTACATAGGCTTCAGAGATGGAACTTAGGTTATCAGGTTTGGTGACAAGCACCTTGACCCACTGAGCTATCCTGCTGGCCCCACCTTCCTTTGGGGAGACACAATCTTTCAATGAACCTGAAACTTGCCGTTTCATCTAGACTGGTTGGCCAGCAAGACTCTGGGAGTCTGCTTGTCCTGCTTGTCCTTGCCCTCCAAGTGCCAGGGTTACAGATTTGAGCTGTGCACTTGGCTTTTATCTGGGGACTGGGGATCTGAACTTGAGTACTTGTGATATTGTGTGTGACAAGTGCTTTACCAACTGAGCAGTCTCCCAGTTTTAGCTGCAGACTGGGAAAGAAGGTCTTCATGTGAGGATGGAGGCAGGGATTGGCATCACACAGGGCTGCCAGAAGCTGAAGAGCATCAAGGATTCTGGGAAGTACTGAAGCTCAAAGAGGCAGGGGAGGAGTCATTCCTGAAAAGTTTGATTGAACCTAGCCCAGTCAACACCATGGTTTTGAATTTCTAGGCTCCAGAATGGGGGAAGAGAATACATTTGTTATTTAAAGCCAACTTTGGTCTATTGACCTTTTAGAACTGTGCCCACCCACTGTAGCTTGGAACCTAAGGGAGGCTAAAACACAGTCGGGGAAACCAATTAGATAGACTTGGGGAAGTAGGCTACTCCTTGGGGGGGCAGGTGAGGGTAAAAAGAATAAAAATAATGGTGCTTACTCATCCACCTACTCACTAACCCTTTGTTTGACTTTATATTCGTGTGTGTTTTACGTGGGGGTGAGGTCTGTAGTCCTGTTTTCTCTCCCTTTGTGTTGGAGACAACTTGTAAGGCAAGGTGATGATTACAAAACAGCTCCCTCCCTCATGACCATCTTCTCTACCCCTGGTCCTCACACATGAAACTGTGCCTTAGAAAGGTTAAGATATGGTCTGTGTTTCCCCCTGGGTTAGTAGAAGCAAAATACAGACACCAGAGTCTCTTGACTCTCTGAGCCTTACCCTCTCAGTGATGTCAAGCTAAAGAAAGTAAACTCTTCAGAAAGAGAGGGATCATTTACTTTATCTTTTATATGTAATTTCCCCCTAAATTTGAAAGTAACGTTTATCTGAAAAGTATTTAGAAATTATTGGAATATTGAAAAATAAAAGTAAAACATTATTTCTGCCTGGCGCTGCGGCACACACCTTTAGTCCCAGCACTTGGGTGGCAGAAGTTACAAACCGATTTTTAATGAACAGTGTTCCCTCACATGGGTGAGCCCATAGTTTATCTATGGTTCCATAACTGCTTCTCTAATTTCCAGCTTTCCCAACAATAAATAAGCAAGGGAGCATTTTACGTAAATATGTAGCCTCGTTATTTCCTGAAGACAGACAGGGTAAATGCCCAGCAAAGGCGATGCATACTGTGATAGGCACTGCCATGCTATTTATCAAAAGGCTTCTACCTGAGGCAGCACCCTCACCAAGGCTCTCACTGTGCGAGCCTGGGTACGTTTCGAAAACACGATCGCACAGGTTGTTGCCTCCTGAGGGCTGCGCGGAGGAGTCTCCTGGGGACACAGGTTAGGAGACCCTGGCGACGAACCCTGCGGGACTGACTCAAAGGGTCAGGACTGCTATGGAGGGCTAGCGCCAGCGCTGGTGGCGGGAGGAAGGAGGCCAGCCGGACCCGGCCTCCCCGGCTCTCCGCCCGGCTTCACACCGGCGCGCGAGGTTGGCTGAGGCGAGACCCTCCGCCCCTTTAACAGGGACACTCCCCTTTAAGGCGGGCGCCCGCGCGCACCCGGCCCCGCCCTTCGGGGGCGCGCGCGGCGACCGCCGCACCGGCTCCCCGGAGCTCACGTGCCGGCGCGGAGCGGAGGAGCCGGGCGAGCGCGCGCGCGCGCGTGCGAGGAAGCAGGCGAGCGCCGGCGGGCGGGAGGAGGGAGGCGCCGGGGGCGCGCGCGCGCGCTGGGCGCTGCTGGGCTGCGGCGGCGGCGGTTACTATGGCGGAGTCGGCCGGAGCCTCCTCCTTCTTCCCCCTTGTTGTCCTCCTGCTCGCCGGCAGCGGCGGGTCTGGGCCCCGGGGGATCCAGGGTGAGTCCCGGGCTGTGGGGGCAGGGGGGAACGGCGCGGGATGCAAAGGGCCAGGCGAGGCCTCGCGCTCGCCCTGGGGCTCGAGCGGGCGCGCCCCCTCCCCAGCGGCGCAATATGGCCGGGCAGGGGGCGCGGAGGGCCGGGGTGGCGGGGGTCAGCCTTGGGGACCCGCGCGCTCTTCCAGGCGGAGCCCGACCAGGGCGCCCCGGGGGTCGCGCTTTCAGCACCCTCAGCTCCCTCCTTTCACAGACCAGGCTTCCTCGAGGAGATGGGGAGGTCCCTGCCCTTCAGCACGTCCGTGCGAGGGGGGTTATTCCCTGCCAGCAAATGCTCCTGGGGGCGCCTTTTCTCCCGCCAAGATTGTGGGGTTTGGCGAAGGGGGAGAGCTTGTTTCTCCGAGGTGACCTGATGCCGACAGCCCATGCGAACCCTAGGTTACAAGGGTACGGGTTCACTACCCTTCCTTTCAGCTTGGGGTGCCCCTATCCACCCTTCCCAGCCACTCTGCCGTTCTAGGCACCTGAGACACATTTCCCCTTCCCTCTCTCCCTTGGGTTCTGCAGGGCATCCCCCCCCCCCACCAGATATCAATGCCTGTAGAAGCTGTTTGGAGGAAATGGGGTGAGCAGGCCCCTAAACCTTTTTTGGAGCTTGGCCTCAGAAACCACCCCAACCCTGTGAAACCTAGTTTCCCAGCTGTTAATCTCAATCTAGGTGTATTTGTATTTGCTTTCTTCCCTCACCTTCCCCACCCCACCCCAGGGAGCCCATTCAGTTAGTCATTTTGAGAATATTTTCAGGTGAAATCGTGGAGCATCTTCCCCCAGTCTTCCCCCAACCCCAATTATTAAAAACCCTACCATTGGGCCATCTCCCTGGTCCTTGGTTAGCACTTTTACCTTGGCACACAGTCCCTCCTCCCAGCACCCCACCACACACCTCTTACCTTCCAACCCTCAGGGCCTTGTGCTAGCCAGGGCCACCCCCACCTTTCCCACTACAGAGGTGGAGATGGTTCTGTGGGACACTCCACTGGCTGTGCTGTTTATGAGGCATTTGGGGCTGGGACAAGCACATGAAACCCTAACGTATTTCATTTGATAGTATTCCCAAATGTGCCTTGGCATTGGGGTTGCAGATGAAGGTTCTATTTGGCAGTTACATTGAAGCGATTATTGACCCACAGATGGAGATGTTGGGCAGTTAGGATTGTACTCCCATTGTACAAAAGCCTGCTACTTTGATTTCTCAGCAGCCCCAACCTTCCAGCAATGGGAGATCAAGTGTGTGTGTCTGGAGCTCTACACACACACATACACACACACACACACACACACACACACACACACACACACACACGCTATTCTTAGGTGGGCCTTGGTTTAGTAACTCAGACCTTCAGTAGAAGACACCATGCTACTTTGGAGTCTCAAAAACAAGTTCATTATCACCTGCTTCTGTGTGCTCTCTCCCACTGTGGTGGGGCTTGTGCATCGGGGTCTTTGTTAACAGGCTAATAATGCTCCTGTCAGGCACTGTGCCTTGTTCTCTGTGTTGCATAGGAAACTGTGCACTGGGGACTGACAGACAAACTGGAGGTGTAAGGACAGAGCCTTTGTGGGGAAAGAATGGTTTTCATAAATCAATGCTTGCTGTGCCTTATGGGCTGTGTGTTTTGAAACCTGTGACAGTGCTATTTCTCTAGTAGGATAGTCAAAATAGGGAGTCTATCTTCAGGTTTGTCATGCTATGTGTGTATAAATAAATCTTTATAGTCCCTCCAGTGGCGTTCATATCCTGCCTCTAGCATCTCCAAGATGTTGAAGCAGTCATTCCTTGCTGATTTGGTGGGTCTGCCTGTAGATTGTTCTTGTTGCTAACATAGTTCAGAACGTTTAATTGGTAATCTGGCTGGTTCAGAATGCAGCAGAGTTCAGTGTGTTGTTTTTGTTTTGTATCCTCTGTAAAATGGATATTTATTGGGCTGAGGGTGGGTATAACAGGGAACTGGGTTCTTTTGGGGGGGAATGGGAAATTCAGTTGTATGTCCCGCAAACACTCTCCGAGGCCTTTAAACTTCTTGGCCAGACACTGCAGTTTTTTCCGGGACACATCTAGTTGCCAACAGTGCATGCTACAGAGACCACTGTTGCAAAAGGCTTAAAGTGAAACATCACTTCTGGGAAAGTAGAGGCTGGGATAACAAGAGGTTGACTTTTTTCCCTCCCCTGCATTTCCTATACAGTGCTCCTCTGTGTGGGCTGGAGAAGTGACAGAGCAAAGCAGTTCTCATGCCTGGGGTGTGGACACCATGTGAGGGCAGCAAGAGATAGGTATTCTTCTATTAATTAATGAAAACTGGGGCCTAGTACAAAGCCAGTGCTAAGGAGAATGATGTCACCCTAGAAATAGCGTCCATGTGATAGGTGTTTTAAGACCTACCTCAGGAATTTTCACATTAGTGTTATAAAATGTAAAATTAAGTTAGTAGCAGAACATGACATTCATTTTTTTTTTTTTTTTTTAAAGACAAAAGCAGCAAGAGAGGCATTTGAGGTACTGATAGGAACATTTTGCATTTCTGTGAACAGCCTGAAAATGTAATCCCAACCCCAGCCTTGTAACTTGGTTGAGTGGGCATGGATCTGAAGTGCAGTGGAAGAGAGTGCCTGTGGAGGGAAGGGAGCCTCTGATTAGTTTGTCCACACAGCTCCTGGGGCAGATGTGATAAAGCACAGGAAAATGGCTACTCTGGTTAAAGGTTAGAACCAGATGGAGGGAGGAGGCTGGTGCTTGGGAACTTTGTTTCCTTACAGGTTGTCCTTGAACAAGTAACTTAACCTGTTACCGCCACAATTTTCCCTCTGGAAAAAAAATCCTGTGTGCCACTCTTATTGGAACATTTGTGAGGCTGACTTACTGATAGCCAGTTGGCAGAGAGGGTATTTTTAGACACAGTTTCTGACTTCAGTGAATAAGCAATGTTGGGTTACTTTTTATCTTATGGGGCAGAATAACATAGTTTGATTGATAGACACACCACATGTCAGTGTGGCTCCTTTCTTACTTTGCTTTTTGGTAGCCAGGGTTCATATTTCCTCAAGCTGATTTCTGCCTTTGGCAGGCTTTTTCCTCATTGGCCAGGCAGCATACCTGGGCTAATCAAAGACAGGCTGAAGGAGTGACCTGCTTTAGGCTTTATTGGTTGGCAATGTTATGCAACTCTGGGTGTGTTTATGGTACTATGTAAATGTTACATAAGAACATGGAGTCTGAGAGGTGGCCAGAATGGTGACTGTGAACACAGGAAGGTTAGACTGAGAACTCCATTCGGAAAGACATTGGGAATTTGCAGGCACTAGGGGAAGAAGCTGCACTTTATTTTCCTCTAGAACCCTTTTAGATGATTGTGCTTTTCAGGGTGGGGAGGTGCTGGGGACTGCAGCGTTATAAATAGGTTTACTCTCCACCGGTGAGCTAATTGTAACCTTGCTACCACAGTATGATTCAGTAAAGAAGAGCTGGAGGGGAGGGACATGCTGCTGCTTTCCACATGTCCTGCTGAGGCTGCTTGTTGCATTTTGGAGCATGAGTTGAGTTGTGCTGCAGTCTGTTCCCCTGAGCACCAGGGAGTACAGGGTGTCATGGGGGAATGGGAATTCTCAGCTTGTGGCACTTTAGATCCTCTTTATTTCTGAAGGTTAAATTGAAATACTGGTATGGTTGTTATATTTTAATTTTAAAATCTCTATTTCTGAAGTTTGTCTTGGAATAGCAGTTAACAGTACTTTGTACTGAATTCTTGCATTGTCTGTTATGGAGCATCATTTCCTTTTCTTCCATATTTACAAAAAGTCCTGGCCAGCCTCCTCATCCAGCCTACAGTGCTGGCTGAGCCACAGGAGTCCTCAGCCATCAGTCTCACCTAGGCTGGGGTGTGCAGCCTTGGAGCATCAGCTCTCTGACACCTTGACTTCTACAATCTGACTTGAATTTCTCTCCATTTGCTCCATGGCTGGATTTGAATACCTGTTCTCTGTGTCTGCTCATCTCAGTGTTCCTACCCCACACATGGCTTACCCTGAGCCTGGACTCCAGAGACACCATCTCCATTCTTGTCTATTATGTACCTGCTGGCTTCCATCCAGGATAAGTGGGACCTGGAGCACCAATGGTCCTGCGAGCAGCCTCTTCACTCTAGACCTTCCAGAGTTTGCTTTAGTGGTGAAAGTTTCCACTCCAGCAGATCTTACCCTCTCTCCATATCACAGAGGTAGCATCACGTGAGGCCATGTGGTGACTTGTTTTTTGTTTGTTTTGTTCTGGTTTTCGTTGTTGTTTGTTTGTTTGTTTGTTTTTTGAGATAGTGTTTCTCTGTGTAACCTTGGCTGTCCTAAAACTTGCTCTGTAGACCAGGCTGACCTTGGACTCACAGAGATCCTCCTGCTTCTGCCTCCCAAGTCTGGTCGTCTTTTTTTCCTACTACTACCACTAGTTCTTCTTCTTTCTTGTTCTTCTTTCCATCCAGTCTCAAGCCTGCATTTGTCCTACTGAATACTTTGGATTTAACATAATGAAAGTAATAAATACCACATCACTTCTAATATCTACATAGTTACATATAAGAGATTTCTTTATTCATTCAATTGGGTATATGCCTAAAACAGCTTTTGGCATGAGGAGATAACACAGAATAAGATGAACAAAAGTTCCCAAGTTCCTACTGTTGTAGAACTTAAAATCACCTTGGCTTAAACTATAAATAAATAAGTAAACACAATTACTGGCTGAGTGCTCTGAGGAAGATGGGCTAGAGCGTGTTCAGAATGGTCATTCCATCCTATGTCTGCATCACTGTGTGCTTTGTAAAGCCTGGCTGAGACTGCTTGGGAGATATGGTTTATAAAGTGGCCACTGAGCCATTGCTCCCAGGGGAAGTACAGGGTCAGGTTCCTGCAAGCCTCTGATCATAGCCATGTCTGTAGGTGATCCATAGATGA